AGCTATAATAGTACAACCAGGTGTTTAAAGAGAGTTATGGAACAGATTTGAGAAGTAGGTAGAGTTGTCTGCTTGGTGTTTAGGGTTGTGAAGGTTGCAATAAGTCCTGATGGTGTAGTGAATAGCATGTTATGCTGCTTACAGAAGATTGGTATCCACTGACTGTGGTGTGAAAGAAAGACTGACAGTCTTCCTGTAAAGATTTACAGTACCAGAACCTTAATAGACTGCTATTATAACTTAAAATCAACTTGATGGTAGTAGGTGAGTGAAGTTCACAACAAAACTACACAAATGAAAATTTAGTAAAGCCATTTCTGACTCATCGTGGCCTTCCTTGGATTTCTGCAGATGAAAATCACACAGGAGGAAACTGCTCATCTTTCTCCCGTGACACTTCTGGTGAACTCGAACTGTAGAGACATGTAGCTCTTGTCTTAGCAGGACAACTCGCTGTGGACTGTGCCATTAGACCCACCCTAACAATGAAGAAATGATCCAGATGAGAAGATTTATAAGGATAGTGGAAAGTAGATGTTGCAAGATATGGATAATTTAGTCATATGAAGAGAATATTTTGCATTTGAAATGCTTTAAAAAATATTTAATGCAATGGGCCCTAACTTTTACTTTATCATAACAGGTGAAGTAATTCAACACTCTTGAGCAAACTACTAATCCTCACTTGGTGTAAGTTGTAACATATGCATAATGGTAAATAAATATTTCTAACTTTCCACTGTATTTGTAAAATTTACTATTAAGTTACACTGCAATCCCAAATGTGTGCGGTTAGAATCCACGGAATGCTCTGCTAAAGAAGGGGGGGCAATCTCCTTGTGTGCCAGTCGGATCTCCTCTTGTGCCAGTTGGATCTGATTCGATGATACATGACAACAACAACGAGAGAGAAAGAGGTGAGAAAAAGAGAGAGAGAGAGAGAATTAATAATTATTATATTTTTATATAATTTACTGTAAATGAAAATTATTCGTTTTTACAAGATTTCATTGAACAGTTAATGTCTGCTTAGTTCATTGTATTCTTAAAAATAAATAGTTACTGGCTTTAGATAATTAAAAATTGACTGAAAGAATAGATAATGAAATTATATGATAGTAGTAGGTAGATGTATTGATACAGTATCTGCAGCAATGGGGGTTGGTGTGTTGGAATTAGTGAGACTGGTCCAGGACAGAGAAAGGTTTCAGAACTCATTAGAGGTAGTAGGCAACTCAATGGCACACAACAACAACAAAAACAACATACTATATTGATTGTTTTCTAAGCTTCATGTTTACAGTTAACAAGATCTTAGGGAGAGTTTCATATTTAAAAGTTGTTATTTTTATTATATTTTGAAGAAACATCCTTCTAAGTGGTACAGCATTCTTCCGTCAATATGTACTGAGGTAACCAGGGGTTTCTGTTATGCTGAATCTTGTGCCACTGGGGTGTTAATTGACATAAAAGTTACCCATCGTGCGCAGTGTTTGGTGTAGCTCCCTATTTAAGACAGTTTGGAAGCAGTAATGGCATCCAAGTCCTAAACAACATGCCTCTGAAAACTATGAACTTTGAGAAATGATAGTTATCAAAAGGCTTTATCTCTTTTGTTCATAGGGTCGCTATGAGTCTTTGTTGACTTGACGGCAATAAACAACAACATATGTTCAGTATCACCTTAGAGTTGTGCAGAGGAGTTTATTGAAGTGAATAATGCCTTGTGCACATTGGGACTGTTTAGTAACTCACAATGTACAATGTATAGCTCAAGCTGAGAGGTCAAGGATTTTGGGGGCGTTGTCACAGTTGTTAGGTGCTATCAAGTAGTCTCTGACCCACAATTGCACCATCTGTTACAGAATGAAGCCCTACTCAGTCCTATGCCGTTTTTACAGTCTCTGGTTCCCACAGAAATGTTCAGTATTAGACTTTGAGGCTTGACTTTTTCTTCGAGATTGTGAAATGCTGAATTTGGTCTTTTGGTTTCCTAACTCCAGATCTTAGCTCATTTCATAACAAGATATTACTTTTCCTTTTTTGAACTAGGCTTTCAAGTCCTCTTTTTGCTTCTTTTGAAGAAAAGATCGTATTTTCTATTTTTTAATTAGTTCTATGTCTATGGTGATGAAGCAAGAAGTTGAAGCTGCTTTGAAGGAAATAGTAAGAAATAAGTCCCCAGGAATAGATGGTATACCAATTGACGTATTTCAGCTAACAGATGCTGTCCAGGATGTGCTCATCATGTTGTGTCAAGAAATCTTGAGAACAACCACTTGGCCGACTGACTGGAAGAGATCTATCTTTGTTCCCATTCCAAATAAGGGTGACCCAATGGAGTGTGGAGACTACAGAACAAGATCAATGATTTCACATGCAATCTAGATTCTACTAAAGATTATCCAAAAACAACTGGAACAGCACATCAGCAGAAAATTGACAGAAGTCCAGGCTGGGTTTAGAAGGGGTCGTGGTACTAGGGATATTGTAGCTGATGTTAGATGGATCTTAGCTGAAAGCAGAGAATACCAGAAGAATGTCTATCTGTGTTTCATTGATTATGCAAAGGCCTTTGACTGTGTGGATCTTTATAAACTGTGGCTGACTCTGAGAAGAATGGGAATCCCAGAACATTTAATCGTGCTAATGCAAAACCTATACTTGGACCAAGAGGAAGTTGTCAGAACAGAGCAGGGTCACACTTCATGGTTCAAAATTGGAAAGGGTGTACGCCAGGGATGTGTCCTGTCTCCATACCTTTTCAACCTGTATGCAGAGCAGATTATCTGAGAGGCTGGGCTCTGTGAGAATTGTGGCGTCAGGCTTTGTGGAAGATCTACTAACAAACTGCATTATGCAGATGATACAACCCTGCTCCCTGAAACTGAGGAGGACCTCATGCACTTACTGCAGAGGGTCAAGGATTGCAGCCTTCAGTATGGACTGAGGCTCAATGTCAGAAAGACAAAGATTTTCACTACTGGACCAATCGGTAGCATCAGGATGGATGGTGAAGAGATTGAGATTACTCACAGCTTCCGTTTGCTCGGTTCCATGGTGAACACTCTTGGCACCAGTAGCCAGGAAATCAAAAAACGTATTGCGATGGGAAAGTCTGCGGTTAGGGACCTCTCTAAAGTACTCAAGAACAACGGTTTCTCTCTGGAAACAAAGGTACCCCTGATATAGGCCACGGTCTTTGCAATCACTTGTTATGCATCAGAGAGTTGGACAATGACTAGGGAGGTCAGAAGGAGAATTGATGCCTTTGAGCTGTGGTGCTGGAGAAGGGTATTGAATGTACCCTGGACTGCCAAGATAACAAACAGATTCATCCTGGAGAGGGTTAAACCAAGCTGGGCTTGGTCTGACATATTTTGGGCATGTTGCAAGGAGGGAGAAGGACATCATGCTTGGGAGAGTGGAGGGTCAGCACAAGAGGAAAAGACTCTTTATGAGATGGACTGATTCAGTGACTGTGGTAATCGGATGGGTGTGTCAGAGGCAGTGCGATTGGCACAGGATAGAGCACGGTTTAGGGCTGTTGTACATAGGGTCACTATGAGTCGCAAGTGACTCGATGGCACATAACAACTATGTCTAGGAAGTTCTGTTGGCCTAGTGGTAAGAAGCTGTTCTGCAGTCTCAAATTCAAGGGGACTGAGTCCACCAGCTATTCCTGGGTGAAGCATTGGACATTTTCTCCTGTGATTTTCTGCCTCTGAAAACCTGCTGAAGGATCTGCTATGGTCAATTCAGATACGATGGGAAACAACAAAAAATGTCCAGGAAAAGATCTGTATCTTTCTTCCTTTATTTATGGTGTTCTTAACATTCTCCTACAATTCTTTTGATCTGTGCTCATTAGTGTTCAAATCTTTTTTTTTATTTAATCTCTACAGTCACATGGAGAACAGTAAAGTTTTATTTTAGCTCTGATGGATCTTATTTTAATTTTCATTATTTTCAACTTGAATCTGCATAAGAACAATTGCAGACATGTTCCTTGCCTGATCTTATTCTGTCTGATGTCAGGGAGTTTCCTTACTGTCTCTATCCACAGATGTAGTCAATTTGGTTTCTATGTTTCTACATGTTTAGACTCTGCTTGTGTTTTTTTTATGTATTATAAAATATTTGCAGTGAATAAAGCATTAGTTATACAAAATTCTGTCATGTGATCCTCAAACTCCTTTCTTGAAACATGAGCAGGAGAAATTTGATAAGGAAGCAGGTAGATTGTTTCAAAGTGAAATTGCAGTATTAAATAATCCCACTTTAGGAACTCTTACAAAAAGTAGATTAGAGTGCACTGGGAAATAAAAAAAAAAACAAACAAAAACATAAAATAGAAAAGCAACATCAAGCATCCACATTGCTTTTAGTTTTGGTACATTGCATCAGATCCCTCTTTTGTATCATTTCAGATCTTCTTGATATCACATATCTTATATTTCTGCTACCACCGCAGTGACTGTTGTACATAGACCCCCATCTACCTTCTGGCAGCTATAACCTGAGAGTGTCTGATTTTATGTCTTGCTATTTATCTTCTGGACTAGAGACTTCCTTCTTGATACTGAGATATGAGATTTTGGGCCATCTCCTAGTATCCAATGTGTGTGCCTGAAATCTGAAATACAGAAGAGGTAATGCCCGTGACTCTTCCCTTCCCCTGAGGAGAGGGGGGGAAATATAAATTAGGTTTAATTTACATTCCACAGGATATATTTGTTACACTTATAAGTTATGGCTATTCTCGTTAAAACTGTCTAGATTGGCTATAGACAAATCTTGAAAATAACCACAGAGATATACTGTTGCTTTTATAATGATAAGTTTTTGAAAAATGAAAATTGCTGCAGTAATGAGGTGACAGTCTGTGTCATTGTATCCACTCTGGACTGATAGTATATAAAGGTCCTGGAACATCAGATGATATTCAGACTTCAGAAACTTCCTATTACACCTCAACTGAAACTTTGTCCCTGAACATCATGTGTTACAACTATTACAGTGGCTGTGGCTGTGGCTCTGCCTATGGCTGTGGCTCTGGTTCAGGTTATGGCTGTGGCTACGGTTCAGGCTATGGCTGTGGCTATGGTTCAGGCTATGGCTGTGGCTATGGTTCAGGCTATGGCTGTGGCTATGGCTCTGGCTGTGGCGCTGGCTATGGCTGTGGTTATGGCTCTGGTTATGGCTCTGGCTATGGCTGTGGCTATGGTTCTGGCTGTGGCTGTGGCTATGGTTCTGGCTATGGCTGTGGCTATGGCTCTGGCTGTGGCGCTGGCTATGGCTGTGGTTATGGCTCTGGTTATGGTTCTGGCTATGGCTGTGGATATGGTTCCTGCTATGGCTTCTGTGGCTACCGGCCATTTTGCTACAGAAGATGCTATTCTTGCTGTTAGAACATCACTCTCAAAGCACCATTTGCCTCTGAACTAACACTATAAAAATAATTATGATTAAAGCAGCTCTATATCAAGATATATACATTCAAGAAAACATGCGTTTTACAAACACATTTACCTCTGCATGTCTGTTTCTTAGAATAATTTTATTGTATTAGGAAACTCTATGATAGCATCCATTTTCCAAATGATAATTTTTACTCTTTCAGTCTGTAATTTTCTGTTATGAATGTATTTCTTTCCTCTAGAGTTGGGGAAGATTCTCAATAAAAATTATTCTTTGTTTTCAACAATTGTCTGTGTAATTGTTGTGAATGACTTTTTTCTTGAATTATGTTGGCAACTATTGGCAATTCATGAACCGCCAAAAGAACAAACAAATCTGTCTTGAAAGAAGTATAACCAGAGTGCTCTTTAACAATAAGAAAGGAGAAACTTCATCTGACATATTTTGGGCATGTTGTCAAGAAGGATCAATTCTTGGAAAAATACATCATTGTGGGAAAGGTAGCTGTTGTTGTTATTGTTATGTGCTGTCGAGTAGCCTGTGACTCATAGAGACCATATGTACAACAGATCTGAACCCTTCTCTAACCTGAGCTAGTCTCACTGACTCCAATAAACCTAATCCCACTGTCCCAGTTATCATGTCAAGTCATTTCATTCACAATCTTCCTCTCTTGCACTGTCCCTCCATTTTTTCCAAACATGGTATTCTTTTCTAAGGACTGGTGTCTCCTGGTCATGTGCTTCAAAATCCTTGTCTTCAAGGAGAATCTTGGTTTCAACCTCTCCAAGACATACCCATTTGTTCTCCTGGTGGACCATGATATGTTCAATACTGTTTTCAAGCACCATAACTCAAATACATCAATTCTTATTTTGTCATACTTAGTTATTGTATATCTTGGAAACATGACATATCATTCCAAAGACCATGGCCTAGATCAGACTTCCCTTAGACTCTAGACTGACCTCATTGCTCCTCAGCACTCTGGATAGTTTCCTAACAACATATTTACCCAATACAACTAGTCTTTTGATTTCATGATTGCTGTTGCCAAGAGTGTTGACTGTGGAGGTGAGCAAGCCAATATTAACAACCTCTTCACCTATCGTGGTGCTGCTGTCAGTTGGCTCAGTAATGAGAATCTGTCTTCTTGATGTTGAACTTCAATCCATATTGAAGACTACAGCCCTTGACCTTCTGAAGCAAATATTTCAGGACCTTTTAAGTTTTCACAAACAAGGTTTTATCATCTGTATAACGTAGGTTGTGGATGAGTCTTCCTCCAATCCTGATGCCACACTCCTTCTCAGAAAGTCCTGCCTCTCAAATGGTAAGTTCTGTGCATAGATTGAGAAGATATGGAGACAGGACACATCCCTGACACACTCCTTTCCTAATTTTGAACCATGTAATTCTTCCTTGCTCTGTTCTGAGGACTGCTTCATGGTTCAAGGATAGGTTTGACATGAACACAATCAATACATCATCAATGAAATACAGATAGACATTCTTCTGGTACTCTCTGGTTTCACCAAGATGAATTTAACATTGGCAATAATGCCTCTCATGCCACAGTTTCTTCTAAACCCAGAGAGTATTGCTGGTAGCTATTAATGTACTGTTCCAGTCATCTTTTCATAATCTTCCACAGTATTTTGCTTGTGTGTGATATTAGTGATGTTGTTTGATAATTTCCACACTCTGTTGGATCACTTTTTGTTGGGATAGGAGTAAATATTATCTCTTCCTGTCAGTTGGCTAGGAAGTTGTCCTCCAGATTTCTTGGCATGTCCTAGTGAGCTCATACATGGCATCATCTGTTTGTTGAAATACATCAATTGAAATGCTGTCAATTCCTGCGACCTTGTTTTTTTGCCAAGTCCTTCAGAGCAGCTTGAACTTCCTCCTTAATCACCATTACCTCTTCATTATATGTTGTTTCACGAAATATTTCTGCATCAGGCAATTCTTTTTGGTACAGTAACTCTGTATAAAGTGACTACAACCATGGGCATGAGGGAGAACATTATAAAGGAACAAGATAGGGCAAGTTTTAGTTAGGTTGTTCTTTATGAGGGTTGTTACGAGTTGTAGTGAACTCAATGACACTTGACAATAATAACCACTTCACAATGGAGCCAAAACCAAATTCAAACAAATTCTTTTAATTTCACTCACCACCCCCACCCATCAAATTGTACAACCCAGTGATTGATATCCCTCTACCCATGCATGTCTACATCCCTCTGCTTCCAGCCTCTCCCGCTCCTCCTGGATTATTAGCTCATTCTACAATAATGGATTTACACAATATTTATCCTTGTGGGACTGAGTTATTTCACGCAACATAATGCTCTCCAGTCCCTCCCAAGGTAGATAATAATTTACAAAGCATTGCTCCTGTGTGCTGCACAGTATTCCATTGTGTGAATGTACCATAATTTCTCAATCCATTCATTTGTGGTTGGACAATTGGGCTGTTTCCATGTTCTTGTGATGGTGAATAATGCTGCTATGAACATTGGTATACAAATCTCAGTTTCTGCCTCAGTTCTCATATTCTCCAAGTAGTGGAATAACTGGGTCATACATTCTTAAACCTTTATCATAAGCAATGATACCTATTTCAGATATCCTACATCTTCGGGCCCCTACAGGTTTTTCCTTTGTGTAATGTAAGAGGAATTAACCTTTCCAGGAGACTGTAACAAAAATCACAAAGAGAAAGAATATGGACAGCACACTTAAAGAAAAAAATGGAATTAAAGTGAATCTATTGTTATTGAGTGAGTATAGTTAGGATTTGTTGGTAAGTATGAGAAGTAAAAACTTAGAGAAATAACTTCCAAGAGATATGTGTCTTGTCATATAAATATGATACAATTGAAAATTTGTTCATTTACCTCTTTTTAGAAATTTGAATGAATTTACATAAGCAGCAGATAAGTTTTAAAAATATTCTGACCTAGAGAAAAGAGTAGCTAAAAAGCCCTCAAATCAAAACCACATATAAAAATGTTTTTTACTCTTAGAGGTTTTACATTCTAGTTGGCAAATATTTAAAGGAAATAGAAAAAAATTAAGATAAATTAAAAGATAATTGCTATAGAGGGAAAAATCAGTTATAGATGAAAAACTATAATTAAAGAATTAAAAAAAAAACCCACACAAACCAAACAGACACAGAGACATAAGCCATTAGTCTTTTAAATTTGTGAGAGATGACTTGACATTTGATAAAAGATACTTGTAGTGCAGAAAAAATGCAAAGAGGACAATTACATTTATTGTTTGGGGTATTATAAGGATGTATTATTTCTAGTTTGGAAAGAACAAGATTCAATGACTTGAAAGGTACTCTTTGGATTTAATGGTTTTAATTAAATCCATCTTGAGAAAGATACAGGGTCAGTGAAAGAGAGGAAGACTCTCAACAAAAACAAATTGAAACTGACTGTAACAATGGGCTTGAGCATATCAGAAATAGGGAGGATAAAACAGGATAGGGCAATTATCAGATTTGTTGCTCATGGGGTCACTGAATTCTGAGACTTAATGCCTAACAACGTAATGAAGAAAAGCATCTAGTTTAGTTGTCAGTGGGAATTTATGAAGGACTAAATCTGAGGTCTCTGGAGCTAAGAGACATCATACCACACACTTCAACTCCAATGAAGACAGCCAGTTCACCAAAAGTCAAATTTGAAGTGTGATTGTGCCCAGGATCTATCACTGATTAACTAATGAAGGAGTAGAGTTTCTTTAAAGAGCAAGACAGTGTTAATGTGGTGAACATTTGTAAAGGAAAATCTGAGGACTCTGTGCTCCTAGTAACTCTCATATTAGGCTTATACATATCAGAAAATTAATAGAGAAATTACAACTCTTTTAAAGTATAGCTATGGATCTATCATCATGATAGATGGTGAAGTGATTGAGATTGTTAACAGCTTAGGTTTGCTTGGCTCCACAATCAACACTCTTGATACTAGCAGCCAGGAAATCAAAAGATAAATTACTTTGGGAAAGTCTGCTAACAAGTACCTATCCAGAGTACTGAAGAGCAACAGTGTCAGTCAAGAAACTAAGGTGTGCCTGATCTAGGACATATGCTTGCTATGCATCAGAGAGCTGGACAATGACTAAGGATGATAGAAAAATTGATGTTATTGAGTAGTGGCACTGGAGAAGAGTCTAGAATACCATGGACTGCTAGGAAAACAAACAGGTCCTTCCTGGAAAGGGTGAAATACTGTTCCTTGGAGGTAGGGATTTTGAAGTTTGGGCATGGTGCAAAGAGGGACTAGGACTTGGAGAGGGACATCATGTTTGGAAAGGTGGAGGGACAGAAAGACAGGAAGACCCTGGATGAGATGCATTGACTTGGATTTTGAAGCTCTATCTGATGTAGTTTGGGCATGTTGCAAGACCCTGGATGAGATGCATTGACTTAATTCCTGGAGTGATGGGGAGTCAGAGACAATGCAATTGGATCATGGCTAGAGCAGGGTTCAGAGCTGTTGTACACAGGGTTGGTATGAGTCAGAATCAACTTGATGGTAAATAACAACAACATGGCTCTATTACCTTTCTTTTTACTGAAGAGATTCTGAAAATGAAGGCATTCCTATGTAAAGTATTATATATCCAGAAAAAGTCTTAATAACATAATTAGCATAAAATTATGAAATATTCTTATTATTTATCACTATTGATCTTTACCTAGTAATACTCTGACTTTTCAAGTCCCCTTCAAGTCTTTTCTATTCCTTCACCTCTGCCCAAAATACACCCACTGCACCCTGCTATACTAATGATTTTTACCCTTCTCTTTTTCTGCTCCTTTCCCCCATCTGAATATTTATGTATATCTTACTAGATACCCTTGTAATTTTATAATAATGATATTATGCAGTATTGTCTGGATGAAATGGACTTAATTCAATCAACATAAAGTTCTCTAGACTCTCCCACATTATAATAATAT